CCTCTTCGTTGTGGGGACCGATTACCCTGCCGATTTGACGGGGGACCTTGACCCCTACCTCCCGCTTGGTGGTTTCCCTGCCCGCCAACCCCCTGTGCGCCCGGTCCTCGGCCACCCAAGGCCTGGCCCCTTTGGCCCTGGCCACCTCCTCCTCCCTGCGGCCTCCCTCCAGCCGCGACAGCAGCGTAAGACCTCCCCTGCCCCACACTACTGCCATCATCTTCAAGGCCCCACTCAATCTGGTCATATGGGACCTCATCGGTACCACCTTCTTCTAATGTCAGGATCATGTGATCCTTGGCCTTTACATGGCCTGAGATGGTACGAGTCTTCCACTTCTTCCCCTTTTCTAAGTCCTTATGCCAGAAAGTGGTCACTGGCATAAACTTCGACTCATACAGGACGACTTCGCGACTCAATGCATCGTAAGTCATGCCGGCCTGCTGAGATTTGTCAAAGAAATGCCCGCGTAGGGCCTCTGGAATGGCACGATAAAACAACTGGACCAGCAGGGGCTCAGTAACCCCGTGGTCCGGGACGGCTACCAAGTCGTCCATGGTACCTTTGAGTGCCTTGGCACTCCTCCACTGCCGTGAGTGGATCGTTTGCAGCTTGTCAGAGGCTCTAATGCCTCGCGTTGGGTCAGCGAAACGCTCCTTGAGGAGCTTGAGGAATTGGGAAAGAGGGGTAACTTTGGAATAGGCAACCAGGTTGTTTTCACAACCGGCTGTACGTGCAAGGGACCTAGCGAAACTAGCTGCTTCGTCCTTGAGGGCATGGAAGGCCACGAGGACTTGCTCCTCAGTTAGGATATGCTGCAAATAGATATAACTGTTGACACTGGCCTCCCAGTTGTCAAAGTTTTCCTCCTTTTTTCCCCCGTACGCGTCTGGAAACTTGAGCTTTAAAGGCTCTTTGCGGGGTCTACCTTCGCCCTCTGCAGCAGCTATGGCTTTGGCACCCTCAATGGCGCCTTCACAGTACTTCCCTACGTTGTCCCTCAACTGTTTCACTTCGCCCCCAATGTGGGTGACGATCTCGCGCGCTAACTCCCTAAATCCTGACCGCATGGCACTCAACGCTACATCCTGACTCCAACGAGCCTGGCGCTCCTCCATCCAGGCCTTGCTCAACACTTCCAGGTACCCCAGTACCTTGTCCCACTTGGCCTTATCGTCTGGCTGGGCCAATACCTCCGCTCTACATTCCTGCACCTTCGCTACTGTTGCGGTCATCTTATTCACTTCTTTCCTCCTCCTCCTCTTCTCCCTCTTCATTCTCAGCTTCCACTGCAACTTTTGCTCGTCTTCCCTCTCTCTTCGCTCCATAGGATCCGTCATGGTTGCTAGCTCAGCGGCCAATGCGGCCTTCTCATCCTCAATCACATATGACTCCGCCTCTTCATCTTCCCCCAACGATAAGTTAGCAACCCACTCGCTGATCTTCTTCTCAATCTCAGCGTCTGTGTCCTTCTTCGTGCCACTGCTCCCTTCTCTGCTTTCAATCCTCATCCTTTCTTTTTCCTCTTCTGCTGCCGCTTCTTCAGCAGCCTGCTCCTTCTTCTTCATCTCCTCCTCTACTTCCTTCATCTTCGCCGCCCGCTCGTCTGCGATAGCTTTCAGCTTTGCCTGCTTCTCACGCTCTTTCCTCTCCCTATTCTCTTTCACTATGGCGGCCATCTTTTCTTGCTGCTCAGTGGTGTAGGGGCTACTCTCCTTCCCACTACGGGTCTCAACCATGGTGATAAGTGTACAACCGGGTTAGTGGTTCCAAACCTCACCACGTAGACGTCAACCCCTGACTGACAGACCTACTGACTCAATCTAAGACTCACAGAATCCCGATAGGGATCCTGTCAACTATGGTCTCTAGCTTAGACCTACACTATGGCTGTCACTACTGAACCAGTGGCTGATCAGGAGGCATTTAAGGAAATCCCCCGTAACTCCTCAAGAATTCTTTAACGTCGCAGACAGGACGACGTGATCAGCTTGGTTCTGCCTGTGCTTTCAGCCCACAACCGAGCAGCCCGCCGGTCTGTACCGGTCCTTGGGAGGGTTCGTATCCCCCAGGACAGTCGAGTCGTCAGACACAGATCATCAGCCTTACTTGGTCTGGTAGGGGAGTGGTTCCAACAGTCCCTCAACACTTAAAGACGGCCTCCGTTTCAGCCTGCAGCTCRGAGTTCGGACCCTCTACACTGAAACTGAGAAGACCTGCCGGACAGTACCGGTCATTGGGCTAGACGAGTTGTTTAACGAGCGCTCGCCGCTCATGCCCAGGTCTCCAGATACCAGAGTAGAGATTGGTCCTACTAAGTCCCGTGCAGGTTTGGCAGCAAGGCCCTATCCTTCATCCACAGAGTTCTATGACCTAGGACAAAAGAGACTCAATGCAGAAAGAATAGACAGACAGACTGTACTCAGCAAGTACCAAGGGGTATGTGCACATCCATAGGGCAAGGGGCAGGCTAAGGGCTTGGCGAGATGTTACCAACTCCAGCTTGGTCAAAGTCTTGGTCAACGCCTTGGTCAACGCCGGTCAACGCTGCTATGACCCTCGGTCAACTTTGGTCAACTCAGGTCAACGACTCCGGTCAACCCTCTCGGTCAACTCCCCGGTCAGCTATGGCTGCCGGCACTTCTTCCTCGCCAATCCCCTTCTTCTTCCTTACCTCCCTCGCCGCCTTTCCCCCGCTGTCTTCTTCTTTCTCTTTTTTTTTTTTTT